GGTCTGATCATCAGTCTTCAGCACTTCCACATTAAAGAGACCAAATGAACACGATGACCTTTCCTTTTCTAATATGGAGGAGATTAAAAACAGCATACCAGAGTGAACTCCTCTAATGTCCCTGCTGAATTTGAATTAGCTGAATGACACAGTTGTCACCAAAATGGGAATGGCATCATTACGTTTTAATGTATGGCAAAAACAAAATGGTGCTGAAACTATTTTAAATTTTTAAGTCAGCTTAAACCAGTATTTGCAGAGACTTTTATTTCAGTATGTTGATGTACAGGGTTGGACAATGAAACTGAAATGGCTGTTTTTGACCACAATAATTTATTAGTATGGTATAGGGCCTCAATTTTGCGGCCAATACAGAATCAATTCATCTTGGGAATGACATATGCAAGTTCTGCACAGTGGCCAGAATGATATTGTGCAATTCTTCTCTCAGAACAGTGACCAGGTCTCAAGCCATGGGAGTTGTTCAACCTAACTTTCATGTTCATCAAACCACTCTGTCTCCTGTCTTGCTGTTTGTTTTTGTGCATTTTCATCCTGATACATCACATCACCTTCAGGAATAAAGTGTTTGAGCTATTACAGAAGCACATGGTCTTCTAGAATGGTTCAGTATGATGCGGCCATCTAGCACAAGTATTGAGCCTAGGGAATGCCTTGATATTGCATCCAAAACCATCATGGATCCAGCCTCCATACTTTCTTCTGTACAGTCTGGGTGATACGCTTCTCTGGGACTTCTCCACACCGTAACTCTACCAGATGTGGGAAAGACAGGTCTCTTCAGAGAACAATACATATTTCGATACATGTTGTCCACCGCTCAAGATTTTCACTGCTGGCACCATTGAAACCAACATTTGGCATTGCACAAGTGACAAAAGGTTTAGCTATAGTAGCCTAGCCATGTACAGTATATTGACCCTGTGAAGCTTTCGACAAACAACTTTGGTGGAAACAGAGGGGTTGAGGTGCACATTTAATTCTGCAGTGAGTTGGGCAGCTGTGGTTTTATATTTTATGCACCTGGACATCCTTTTTTAGACAGCTTTCTCTTGCGTCCACAGTTACTCCTATTGGGCCTGGTTTATCCTTCTTGATGGTATGCTGGCATTACCCTAGATCAGGGTTGTAAAAACTTGGTCCTGGAAATCGGGGTATTTTAGTTCCAACCCCAATTAAACACACCTGAACTAGCTGAACAATCCCTTTTTTATTAGGTATACTAGTATCTTCCAGGAAGGAGTGTGGAAGGAAGTTGGAGCTAACCTATGCAGGACACTGGGCCTCCAGGACCGAGTTTGAACACCCCTGCCCTAGATACTGTGGCTCTTGATACAACAAAGACTTGCTGTCTTGGTCACAGATGTGTCAGCGAGATGTGTACCAACTCTGTGTTATGGTCTTCCATAATGTTGCATGCATTGCAATATTTTAAGCAAAATGGAGCTATTCATCTGCTGATTAAACCTTCACACTCTACTATTACTGGTGGAATAAGAAATCAATAAAGACTGAAAACCAGGCTGGTCAAATTTTGCCATGAATCCTCAAATAGTTTCAGTTTCATTGTACAGTTTAATTTCTAAGCCCAGTAGTTTTATTTACAACTTTAGAAAAATTTTGGCTCAGCAGAAAAAAGTTGTTGGATTTTAAAAGACCATTACTTTTCAGTAATTGTATATTTACATGGATAATCACACTAATTTTACAACATTGAGATGAACTGAAACAACTGAGGTAAATCATGACAATAACTTTTGCAGTTATTCAACTTGTTTCATAAATAATGATTTAGCAACAACAAATATCTTTTCACAAAAAAAGAACAATAACTATTACAATAGCCATATCAATAGATGTATTAGCATCCATGGTAAAAGACCACACCCACACAAGGTTAGTAGCCAAGCAACATTATATTGTTCAAAATGTGGCCCTTTATGGCATACCCTTCACAGTAACTGTGTCAGATTACACCATTTAAAGGGCACCTGTGAAGAAAGTCATGTTTTGTAAGCTGTTTGGACAGAACTGCGTGTGGATATAGTGTGTCCACTATACTGGAGTGATAGAAACTAATAGGTCCCTTTTTAAAAATTTCCTGACCTTAAGATAGGATCCAAATCCCCCCTTTTTTTTAGGCCCATCACAACGTGATATAGGAATGTGGTTTTTCTGCCCACCTAACTGATTGACACATCCATATTAACATGTCTCTGTCGTAATAACCATATCCACAAGACAGGACGTGCGCAAAGCAACTGGGATCAAAAGATTTCAGCTCTATTTGATCATCTGCACCTCAAGATTGAGTTTTACAAGTCTAAAATGTTTTTAAAACAATGGATGTTAGTAATAAACACTGTAAAATCGCTACGTAAATCATCATTACAGCTACATGTCAGTACAATTATGTAAGAAGATGTTTCAATCCCAGTGTGTAGACTTAAAGCTGCTTTATTTTGTACATTAACATAACGGAAACCCATACAGCAGAGCTAAGCTTTATAATGACATTGTGCGTGACTCATCTTTGCAGAAATGCTTGAATTAACTCCCCAACAAATATATGAAGTAACATTTGGGAAAGTTCTTAATGTAGTAAGCGAGATCTGCATCATTGTTGTCTGTCACTGTACTGTTTATCTACGTAAAAGAGATAATTCGTTACATTTATATAGCGCTTTTCTGGGCACCCAAAGCGATTTACACAATGGGGGGGGGGGGGAATCTCCTCATCCACCACCAGTGTACAGCATCCACCTGGATGACGCGACGGCAGCCATTTTGCGCCAGACCGCACACCACACACCAGCTGATTGGTGGAGAGAGACAGAGTGATGATATGCCAATCATGATATGGGGACGGTTAGGAGGCCATGATGGACAGAGGCCAGTGGGCAGATTTGGCCAGGATGCCGGGGTTAAACCCCTACTCTTTTTCGAAGGACATCCTGGGATTTTTAACGACCACAGAGAGTCGGGACCTCAGTTTAACGTCTTATCCGAAAGACGGCACTCACTGAGCAGTGTAGAGTCCCCGTCACTATACTGGGGCATTAGGACCCACACAGACCGCAGGTTGGGCGTCCCCTGCTGGCCTCACTAACACCACTTTTGGCAGCAACCTAGCTTTCCCATGTGGTCTCCCATCCAGGTACTGACCGGGCGCAGCCCTGCTTAGCTTCAGTGGGCGACCATGTGAGAGTTGCAGAGAGCTAGCTGCCGGCTAATATGCGGAGATATGCATCAGAGAAATACAGACAGATCTCTGTGGCTCTGACACACACTTGGGAATGGTGGGCGGGGAGATAAGCTGCAATGATCATTCATTTATTTCCTTGTCGGCTTAGTACCTTTATTAATCCGGGGTCGCCACAGCGGAATGGACCGCCAACTTATCCAGCACATTTTTACGCAGCGGATGCCCTTCCAGCCGCAACCCATCTCTGGAAAACATCCACATACACACACTCATTCACTATGAACAATTTAGCCTACCCAATTCACCTGTACCGCATGTCTTTGGACTGTGGGGTAAACCGGAGCACCCGGAGGAAACCCATGCAAACGCAGGGAGAACATGCAAATTCCACAAAGAAACACCAACTGAGACGAGGATCGAACATGGAAACAGCGACCTTCTTGCTTTGAGGCGACAGCACTACCTACTGCATCACTGCGTCGCCTATGCTGCAATGATCTAACAGCTTAAATTTTCCAGTTTTAATAAGGTATAATGCATAATCTGATGAGATTTTTATATTAAATCTTGAAAAAGGGGGAAAATAGGTCCCCTTTAATTTATTGTTCTGTCATGGACAATAAACAGATCAGTCTACATCACTTCCCAACCTGTCAGTTCCTTCTATTTGTAATAGAATACGTGATGCCACCAAGAAGGTGGATCTGGCAAACGGAGAAAGAAGCATTCGCTACCAAAAGGAAAGAAAAAAACACAAATGTGGTGTAGATAACTGAATAAAGTAAAGAAAATATGCTCGGATGTTTTGGATAAACATAGGTGCTGCAGCAGTTATCATCCTTTATACAAAACAAAATGATTGATATTTGCATCCTATTTGACAACAAATCAATCCCCACAATACTTTATGTCAAACTGGCCCCCCCCCCAAAAAAAAACAGCCTGATAGTGCGTAGTCTTAAACTAGCTTTATTTAGCTTTTTATCAATGTGAAGTTGCAATACATTTCTGGACATTGTTGTACCCTACCTATTCTTCATAGTTCATGTAAGCTAAAGGAAAAACCTTGCAGGAGCTTCATTCATAAAACATACATTTGCCCAGAGTCTGTCAGTGACCTCAGCCCATGTTATGCAATGTGTTTTTATTTTTATTATATCCTTTGTCCCCAGTGGTAACACTCTGACTCTTGCGTAGGCAGCACTTGAAAACATCCTCTGCGGGAGATCGGGAACATCAGGTAATTTAGTCCTTTATGTAGATGAATATTTAAAAAAAAGCGCACAACATTTGACACATTGGATTAGTTAAAAGTGAGAAAAAAACATGTGTTTCGCATGAACTGAATGGATGAATAAAAAGTATTTGCCCACAATTTGCTTTGTGCATGCTTATTACCTTATAATGAGCAGCTGAGATGAGATGTTCTGGGTCGTGTTATTGCTAATGCACCACACTTCCTATTGTGCACTACACAACAATGGATTTTTAAGGATCAAGCAGACTACATTGTTCGGTTGACTATATGTGTTTATTTGCTTACAAATGCATGACCCTGTTAGCCATTCAGCGTAAACACTCAAGTATCATGAGTCTTTTAGACCTGGCCTTCTTACTCCAATGATTCGTCGCCTTCAATCAGACCCAAATTAGTTTGAATGGAACAAGCATGAATTCGGCAATGTAACCAGAGCCCAGTGTTTAAAGATGTATGAAAAGCCTTGAGGAGAAATAGAGTCTCTGTTAACCCATCTCAGTAACAGTGAAACTCTCATACAGTGATCTACCTTCGTGAGTGTTTGTTGTGTAAGCAGGTTTTAAAAGGGTGTCTGTGGGACAGACAGGCAGGCTGGGTGGGGGGGCTCCACCTGCTGAATGAACGCGGTCAGTATTGGGGAGTACCATGGGCTACGGGTGGGCTCAGCCCTGCTCAGTATAGTAGCAGGTTGCATCATCATTGGAGTGTCAAAGGACTGTGATGCTGATGCTGTGGGGGGCATCTTCCTTGGGGCCGGTGGGCTCGGTAAGTTGCAATCTTCCCAATATTTAGATTTGTGTTTATCTGACACTGGTTTTCCAGTGATTGGTTTATTTGTACAGCCTGATATTATAGATTAATCATGTAGCCCCAAGCCTGTATGACTTCCTTTGGAACACAAAGGAAGATTTTGGGCAGAAATTCCATGCTACTCTTTTGCTCACAATTACACAGATCTGACCTTTTTTATGGAGACGCTGCTATACATTCTGTTGATATTGTATTATTTTTATTGCCCACTTTGAGCAAGATTAAACTGGCATCTCTACTATGAGAGGGAGGTGCACTAACATGGAAGACCACAGCCTCTATGTTAGTGTCTAATGCACATCTTTAGTCCAGTGGAGTGAAGTTTATCCACACAGGTTTTACTAGCTACCGCCCTAACTCATCCCTAAATCACCTCACTAAAGACGAATCCTATTTTTACCCTGTTGGTTTATGTGAAAGAGAATGGGTGTCTTGATTTTTTCTTGGTTAAAGGGGTTGGGGTTGGTGCCAGTTCCAGATAACACGTTATTTTAAGATTCTTTGAGAAAACCTTACAAATGAACTGGTATGGGAAATGTTTTTGAATACACCAGCTACAGTAGAAACATGGCTGCCCAAGTAATCAAGGAGACCCAATGTAAAACATGGAAATAATAAGGGTTTTTACTACAAACAAGCATCTGTTTTTTTAACATGGTTAATGCTCAAGGTGGTGCAGTAGGTAGCGCTGTCGCCTCAAAGCAAGAAGATTTGAGCTGGTTTGAGCCTTGGCTGGGCCAGCTGGCATTTCTGTGTGGAGTTTGCTTAGGCTCATTTCTTTTCGAACAATGTTAGGCCCCGTTTAATGAATGCGTTTTCGTTTTAAAACGCATATGTTTTTCTACGGTTACGCCATCCACCCACACAACGCCGGAGTTTTCGAGTGCCGAAAATGGAGCGTTTTGGAAATGCTGGAGAGGCCGTTTTTATTCTAAAATACTGCTGCTCCGTCTCAGTGTGGATGGGGAAAAATAGAGACATCTGAAAACGGAGCCGGGGCTGCTGACATTCGCATATCTGATTGGAGCTTTTCCTCAATATTAAGTCGCCGATTAATGTTACACACAGTTCAGTCCTGCATCCTCTCCTTGTAAATTCAGACTTCGCAAGTTTAATCAAGGCTGCAGTCTCCCCCTCCTCAGTTTGATATGGAAAACAGACTACCAAGGACACAGGTAAATCGTCAAAGGGAACAGTGTACTTTATAACTTCATTCACATCACCCTGGATACGTTGTTTCACTTTCACAACAATAAAATCAAAACATGATTTAAACTGCCTATTTTCATTTTTATATTAGCAGCTTAACAGACAGCAGAAATGTTGAGGTGTTGTGCTGCATTTATGAGCGTCATCTTCACTGTGTGGATATTTATAACAAAACGGAGTCTATAAATTCACTGCCTCCTTTCAATTTCAGTGAAAATACGAAACATGCCTTCTCTTTTGCTGAATATCAGTTTTAATAACCGATAATGGCCATTATAAAAGTATAACATACAATCAGTTCATACATTATAGGAAATAAAGGCAAGCGATCAGTCAATATACAGAATGTAGGCTACGTGGTTACATTAGTTATTAACCTATCTTTGCGTCTAGCCAAAACACGTTACCTGAGAACAAGTAATAGATTCCAATGACCAAAGTCGGGGAATGACGTTAGATATAGACAACAAGATGAATGAAATTTAAAGATCTCATCCTCTGGCATTAGTTACTAGTGCATCTTTTAAGGCCAGGAAAGTGATGTTAATACATAGCTCTTACTCGCTGGCTTCCATTACAACCACCTCTAATCAAAAACTATATCCGGGTCACGGCACCAAGTGCAACCCATCTGGTTCTAATTGCCCCACAAAGAACAGAATTAAACTTATGCTTCCAGCATGAGCAATCAATATAACAGTGACTCTAAAGACTGCAGGCTTTAGCGCCAGTGACTTGTATGTCTTTTGCAATCGCTGAAGGGAAGTTTTGTTTTCTTTTAGTTGCAAGCATGATTGGAACTGGCATCACAAAGACCACATTCCTTTGCAGTTTTCACTCATATACCTTGTAAGTATATAAACATATAATCCAGGTGAGTGTTAAACTCGTACTTTATGAGCTCCATATTACACTTCCCCCACCCCATCCCTCAAATGTGTTGTCACAGCACCAAATGCAATCTCTCTGGTTCTGCATGCCCTACAACTTAAGAATCTAGCCTTTTATGGGAAAGAGTGTCAAGGTTTCTCAGTGGTTTCCCCCACAGTCCAAAGATATGCACTACTGGTGAATTGGGTAAGCTTGTCTGTAGTGTATGAGTGCGTGTGAATGAGTGTGTATGGTGTTTTTCAATACTGGGTTGCAGCTGGGAATCCTCTGCGTAAAACATATGATGGAATAGTTGGTGCTCTGAAGACTTCTGAAATAGAGACTAAGCCGTAGGAAAATGAATGAACGAATTTTATGGGAAGCATCTATCAATGACGCTAAAGACCACAGACTTTAGCATAAATTACTTGTGCACCTCTTGAGGTTGGAGAATGAGTTTGACCCAAATAACTTGTACCAGACGGTCTCTGTTAAATTATAAATTCTCTTGTATGTTTGGGCAAAAACACCATAGAAATCTGAAGGAACATATCAGCACTAACATTTAGATTAATAGTAGTCTGACATTAACACGTTTTATGTTGGCAATTACACTAGAGTGTGTGGATTACATCATTTTTATTTTGGGTGAATTATTTTTTGAATTTGCTGGATGAATCTGCAGGGTTTGGTAGGTAGTGCTCTGCTGCTTCAGTGACTATTCCCCAGTGCATGACTCTTTTGCATATCATGCATTTTTAACACTACATCTAATCTCTGCTCCATATCAGCACACTTCTATCTTCTCCACTATTATCCCTTGCCTTTCCACAACAACAATATATTAACCCATATTAACAAGAATATTGGTAATTTTTGCATTTTTCGATATGCTATAGAGGTTTGCTACCGAAGTATCACCTGGAGTTATTCACTGTTGAGGTTCGGTTAAAAAAAAGAAGCTCATCCATCATTTGATCCAGCTCTGTAATCCAAGCCACCTGCTTACCATGGTGGGTATGTAATCTACACAAGACCCTGTCACAATAGAGCTGAGCAACAAGCCAGCTGCATTTCATATTGTGTACTTCTAGTAGTTAGAATTACCTCTACATACCCTCGGAGATGGTATGCTGTGCATTAAAGTTACTGTCATGTCAAGTGATCAATCTGATTGGCATCTATAAGTTTAATTTAGAGCGGATGCCATGTTTATTAGGTGCAAGACTCAATAAAGCAGACTTTAAAAAATCATTATTTCCTATTTGTTTATAATTATTTAGACAATCTTATAACATTTATAATGTTTTGAATGTTTGATATTTTAAGCTTTTAGTGTGTATTGTTTATTAGCTTAGCATATTTTAGCATAACATTAGCATTTTTACAAATCAAATATTTACATTTAATTTAAGCTTTACTCCAATAAATGAAAATTAATTGATTCTTAAAGTTTAACCTAATGTCCCATCAGTAATGATATACAGCCATATTGCACTGCTACGAGTGTGATATTGCTTATACAGCAGTTTGACGGCATAATCGTGTATATAAAAAAGAAAATCAAACACAGAGAGTCTAAAAACCCTTTGTATAAGGAACTACTTTCTTCTGCCATCAGAAGAAATCGTTGCTACAAATGTCTTTTTAGAGCATAATGTCTAAAGCGATGACAAAATAGGTGATTTTGCACACATTTTAAGATTATAAGACTCCACAGACTATTCAAATAAAATAGTCTATTGTTGCACAAATGTGTGAGCATAATGTGTGACTTTTCCACTGGCAACATTATCTATTGTAGATAAACTATTAATGACAATACTACCGTTTACAAACCACAGTGGCACTGCCAGCATTTTGGAGGGTAACACTTTATTTTGATGGTCCATTTTAGTATTAGTAGACTGTTGCTTAATATCTGCTGATACTGCTCTTTCAACTATAAGAAACTTTGCAAGTACATGTCAACTTACACTAACCCTAACCCCAACCTAACAGTCTATTTATAATCTAATGGGAATTAATTGGCATGTAGATGCAATGTAACTTAAATCAAGAAATGGAACATCAAAATAAAGTGTGACCTTTTGGAGTCATAGTATCGCGATAATACCGCAATACCGGTAAACTGTGCTACCATTTATTAATCATTTCCTGTTTACTTTGGGTGACGCGATGATGCTGAACATGGTCACTGTTTCGAGCCTCGGCTGGGTAAGTTGGCGTTTCTCTGAGAAGTTTGCATGTTCTCCCAGAGTTTGTGTGGGTTTTCTCTGGGTGCTCCAGCTTCCATACGGTAAAGGTGAATTAGGTAAGCTAAAATTGACTGTAATGTGTGTGTAAATGAGAGTGTATGGGTGTTTCCCAGTGATGGTTCGTAGCTGGAAGGGCCTCCGCTGCATAAAACATGCTTTGTAGAAGTTGGCGGTTCATTACGCTTTGGCAACCCCAGATTAATAAAAGCACTAAGCCCTAAAGAAAATAAATAAATGAATGTTTACTTTGTTTTCTATTATGTTCACCTGAGCCTTGTTTTTTTTTTTTTTTTTTGTTTTTTTTACGGCATTATGGAAGAGAAGCGTGAAAGAGAAGAGGCTGACAGTCGAACCGCCCCGGGAGTTTTTGGCCTTCCCTAGCTGCCACTTCCAGCAGTGGGCGCTGGACTGAACATGTCTCATTCTTTTGGCCCTTGGGTTAACTGGGCTGCACCGCATTATCCTTCCATGGTGTACAAAAATAGAAATCAATTTAGATTTTTAGAAACTTAAAATGTATTTGTCATCAGAATTTAACATTAGTAATTTAGTTATCTACTATTAAATTCTTTTTCAATAACTTACATAGCAACATAACATTAATGCAACATTACAATGACAGTACAGTGCCAGCCTTAACTTCATAAATTTGTTTGTTCGTTCATGTTTTCAAAATAATAAAATAAAATTGTTAAAATCTTTGGTTGAAGCTGTCTCATCAAGATATTGTTGGCATGGATGCACAAATAAGTTATTAGTGCATGGACATCTTTACTGCCAAATGGGACCGATCAATTGCGGCAGCACACACTAAAGCATCAAGCGCTCTGATGGATTAATAAGTTTGGGGTGAGTTAACAGGGAAAGACTGAAGGAGATTAGAGGACAGAATTCACAAAGAAGAGCCTGAAAGAGAAAACTGTACGAATGAAGCATACACAAGCAAAGCACGTGGCAAAGGAGCCCTCCGCATGCAGCAATCGTGCCAGCCAGTGGCCTCTCATGAAAGAAATTGGCCAAAACACAAAGCCAGCAGAGGGGCCTCGTCCTTTTCAAACAGGAATTGATTCACAGCTTGAATAGTAGGTTCATAATCAAAATCCAGCACAGTGTCTGCAGTCTATGACAGTCTCGCCATCAGCCTTAGACCTCTGGAAACACAAGAGGACAGAGAGAAGACAAAGAGCTCAAATGCACACCTTCACTTGCAACAGGAATGTACAATACACTTTGGGAAAGTATGCGAGAACAAGTGACCTGGGTTTAAGTATAACCTTGCCATCTTTTAATAAATAAACTTCTTTATATATCAGGCAGTGGCTCTTAACCTTTTGACCCTTAAGTTTTGTCATTATTAATACCAACGTTTGGCAAATATAGTCCTGCAGGACCACTTTCAAGCAGATTCCAGTTTTTTAAAAATCATACAAACCTGAAAGATAAAAAAGCAGAGATGCTCATCACTGGCCAAGTCACTGTCTTCTCGTGAATCCATCAGAGGCTGCTGTGTATACTTTTTCAGACCTCAAAAAGCTTTTGCGAGTGCCATCTGGCCTGCTGTTTTTGTGTAAATCCACCAGAGGCCGCTGTTGACTGACTGACCAATCATCTGACCCACCCCCTTGCCTAAACCCAACCAACAGTGTTTTCAAAAGCAATCCAGAAAAAAAGAAAAGCCCTTGCGGCTGCCACATTTTTACCACGTTTTCAGATCTTACTATGTTCTCACCCTGTTAATGACTTGTCTATTTTATTTTTTGCTTTTCTTTTTAACTGCTTTCTGGAACAGTTTTTCACCAGACTAACTAAATTGTTGCCGTCAACTCCTCTCTGCGTCTTTAGTCCACTAACATACATTCTTTCTTTAATTAAAGAAATTTCACTTACAATTTTATACATTAAAACCACACCATTTTAAAGAAAACATTTTAAAACATTTAAACCATGGCGATTTCCAGTTCATTTCTTTAAAAACTTCATGTTTTGTCCATTAGTATTTTGTGCATCTCTCCCTGCATGTTCTCGTTTTTAAAATATGCATAGTTTTTCCACATATCCCTTTGATTTCATTTTAAAAATTTCCCATACATCCATCACAATTTTCGCTTTTTTGCCAATATTCTCCTTTTCCACATTGCATATTTCATCAGCATTAGAAACAGTAAGGGTGTCAAATTTATTTGTTTCTTCAGTGCACCGCGATGCAGACGCGGACAATTTGGTCTCGTTTCAGTAATAATCATTTATCTCATATGCTCATATAGCTTACTATGGCAAGGGAGGCAAGCATGGGTATTTACAACGCTCCAACTACTTAAAACCCAGAAGCTGTGCACAATTTAACTTCGTGTGTGTTTGTTGGACAGTCTTTCACTGACACTGAACAGCAGAAGCCCCTATTTCTCTGTGATTGAGAGAATAAAAGTAAACTCCATTTCTCTTTCTTGCTGTAGCCCATTTGACCTGCTGGGGTGGCTTTTCCTCTCCTCTTGGCTGTTGCAACAATAGTTCTGGAGACAGACACAAGCGCATGTTTTTCTCCAACGTGCCTATCAGGGATCAGCTGTGATCACCATTTATCAGTGTCACTCATCTGTGTGGAGGAGCCAATCGCAGCTCTTTCTGTTGAGCGCATGACCAATCAAAGGGGTGTAAAAACTTGATAAACAAGGCTCAGCGAGTGAGATATTTAAATTTGTTTATTTGCTATATACAGTTTATACACCTGACTGTTTGTATTAAAGGACAAAATTGTATTACAACTAGTATATAAATATAAACATATTTATACATTTAATACAAGAATTGCTGTGCTGTAAAGAAAATATAAAACTGTGTATGGAAGGCATCGTCAAGGCACCGTAATGCTCCGACATATCAAATTGAATCGAATCAATAGCATGGGAACCGTAACCGAACCGAACCGTAAGACCAGTGTAGGTTCACAGCTCTAATACACAGGTTTACAATTTTCTTATTTTTATTTTTCTTATTCCATCCCAACATCACCACTTTGCTCCATTCAGTGTTGCCAAAAAGGGCGGTTTTGTATTTTGATTGTGCGGGTAAATAATGACATAGGCGGATAGAGAAATTTGGGCAGTTTTGAAATGACGCGCTCCCCAGCCCCAGACACCCCCAATCCCCCGGTCTTAACTTATCACCTGCTTATATTCACCTCTACAGAACCAAATCAACACCCAAAAGAGGAATGATACCACTTTATAACCGCTCATGATAGCCTACAGATTTCTGGACGATTGTTTTTGCATTTCGATGGGTTTTGGATGGTTTTTAGGCAGGAATCAGTCAGCTAATGCCGAGTTCAGACTGCATGATTTTCAAAGTAGTCGTGTCACAGATGTTTTCACACTGCATGACTATCTGGGCTAGCGTCTAGTCGCTGCTTTGTTTACACTGCAAGATGGATCGGCGACAGGGACATTCACATTGCATGACTTTACTATAGGAAGAATCGCCGACAACTTCGTCCAAACTACGTCTCACAGCCAAAAACATGTAGTATATCTTTTGTTATTAACTATATAACGGTAAAGAAGCCTTTAATGGGGTAGAACATGTACATGTTTGCTCACCTGGGTTTAAAGGGAATTAGCCATTTCTCCTCAATGTTGATAGTGAACTAATTTCTTTCTGTATGAAACGTCAAACAGACACAGTTGCTCCTGAGTCCTGTCAAACCTCCACCAGGTTTTTCCTCCATTTCGTGGGTCCAAATAAACCGAAAAAGAGCGCTTTTAACTTCTCCCTCAGCCTCCCCCTGGCCTGCAGCAGGTATACACACACGCACACACAAGTGAAAGCTTCTCTCTCATTGGCTGTAGGCGATCGCTGATGTTATTTCAGTCAAAACTCAATTCACACGCATGATTTAAATCGCCAGATATTTAGCATGCCAAAAATCTCACAGGCATCGGTGACTCATCGGCGATTCTCTAAGATTGCGTCTTTGAAAGTTCATACTGTGTGATTGTCACTCACGTGCATGAGCAGCGATTTGCCTGTGATTTCAGGCATTTGTCGGCGATTTCTCAAAACCTGTCAGCGAGCCAAAATCGGGGCTAAAATCACGCAGTCTGAACTAGGCATAATCTGTCAACACTGGCTCCATTCCGTTTTGTTTTCATCCCAATTAATTTTTTAGTAAAAATTTACAATCTTTTAAAAACAATTCCAATTCTTGACAATATGAAAACATATGAAAAAAAACTTCGTTTTCTTTTTGACATATTTTACACATTCCATTTTGTTCCATCGCCATCTTACTTAAAATTGAATCTGAAAAGATTGCTTTGAGCCTTATTAAAATTCAAGGCATTCAACTTTTATTTCAACACAACTTTCTTTCATGTTTTGCCCATATATCATTTGCTTTAAAATTTTTTTTTTTTTGCTGCTCTAATGTACATGGCGAGCTACTGAGAAAACTGGTAACATCGGAACACAAGGTAATCGGTTAGCTATTCGTGTGCAAAGAAACAGAGGCCATTTGGGGCGTCATACTGCCCCGTAGCATTCATTTTAAAGATGAAATGTAGCCATACGTAGCTCTGGCTACATATTCCGCTCTCTCCAGAAATGTATACGTGGGTACGTTTTCACAATGAGCCTGGGTTAGAAATGTATACGGGGCTATATTTTTACAATGAACCTGTGTTGGTTTTAAATCATCATATGAGCCATAACTATTAAGTCAGCCTGTATGTCCATGATATATTGCCTTGGCTAAACTCTAGCTAATTAGATGGCTGCTGGTGAGTCATAAAGCAAAATAAATTGACAATATATGCTTTAGGGCTTTTGCATAATTAGCTGTATATTTGAGCCACAGGTGGCTTGCTGGGTTCACACCAAACACAAAGCACATGCAAAATTCTGTCTGACGGTTGGCTAGTTGCACCGTTGATGCAATTAACAGTGCAATTCAATGCTGTCTGTTTGGTTAAACCTAGTGGGTAATATGCACATCATATTAGTACACATAAAGGATGACAACAACCTCTGTTTTTCTCTGTTTGTGCTCTGCAGGTCTCCTCATTTCAGTCTACCCGTTCATACGAGCATGGTTCAACTTCCATCATATACTGCCCAATATAGGTGAGATTAAACATTATTATATTATAGCATCTGTAACACTTCATGGTTTTGCACAATGCAGAATTTAAGATGTTTTAAGACATTTTAAGATTCTTAAATTTTATATTATTAACTTTTATTAAGATAATGTACTGGGAAATTCAACAGGTAATAGAATAAAACAATTTTCTTTTCCACTTAGTCCCTTTATTAATTTGGGGTTACCACAGCCAAATGGACTGCCAACTTATCCAGCATATGTTTTACGCAGCAGATGTCCTTTCCAGCTGCAACCCATCACTGGGAAACATCCATACACACTCATTCACACATACAGTAAGGACAATTTACCCTTCCCAATTCACCTATACCACATGTCTTTGGACATGTAGGGGAAACCATGCGAACACGGGAAGAACATGCAAACTCCACACAGGAACGCCAACAGACCCAGGCAATTTAAGTATACCAGTTACGTATTATATATGGTTTTATTGATTATTTTGAGAATTTTGTGGATTCAATTTTGAGGAAGTAGAACATTAAAAAGAACACAATCTACTGTGCCAATCAATTAAATTTAAATACTTTATTTCATTTAACTAGAGCGGTGATCTTGATTATGTTGTTTAACATTAGATTAGTTTGCTTTGTGATGATAAGAGACCATGTTGGACCACTCGGGCTAATATGACAACCTCTAATTTTCTCAGGCAACTTCAGAGTGCACCCAATGGCTACAAACTCAAATCCAGCCCCTGAACAGCCAGCGGCTATTCTCACACGAGAGGGTAAGTGCCTAATCCATATGGAGACGCACACACACACACGTACACCAGTCTGACAATTGAAGGCTGATTTCCTATGACACCATTTTAAAGTGAATATATTTCTCAGGGTCAGTGTAGAGCTGTCCGCGGCTTCTCATTTACACTCTCTGTGGCCTGCCGGATATAAGTCCTGGGTTGTGTTTCAAGCCAATATAAAACCTTTCTATTAGGTTATTTCATGTGAAATGGCATTATGGGTTTAATCGGTAATATTAAGCTGCAGTTTCAATGAAGACATTCTAATTGTATTGTTTCATAATTGCTCCAACCCTTGTTGAACATAAAGTGCACAAATTGTGCCTCTTAATTTTGTTTTTGAAGGTCTCTCTAGCCCTTCCCCTTAGCCCTACCCTTTGTTTTGAGCATTTACGTGAAGGGATAGGGGTGTCCCAATTCTCTTTAGCTTGAAGGCATAGGGCTAAGGAGAAGAGTTATGTGCCCCTTGAAACAGAGATTTTCCAGGACCACACTCAAAGTGATTATTCATTCATTCATTCATTCATTCATTCATTCATTCATTCATTCATTCATTTTCTTGTCGGCTTAGTCACTTTATTCATCCGGGGTCACCACAGCGGAATGAACCGCCAACTTATCCAGCAAGTTTTACGCAGTGGATGCTCTTTCAACCGCAACCCATCTCTGGGAAACAAAGTGATTATTTATAAACTAATTTTGAAGGGATCAACTGCATGATTGTCCATGGCTGGTTTCGCATTTGCCTACGATTGATTCAGCAATCAGATGATTCCTAACTCACTATTAATAACCAGTTTCTTATTTTAGTATATTTGTCATGATCCTTAAAGTCAGTACATGAACAAACTAGTATTTTTTGTCATTATTACGAATTTTGACAACAATATAGCATATTTTTTAATACATTCATTACGTTGTTCGTGTTTTACCATCATGCTTCAAAATAATTTTAAAAATATAGAATTTTGCTATAATCCATAATAACAACTCCTGTATAATAGTCCCACAACAGACTCGAATACACTGTTAGAAAAGTCTAGTGGCAGGGAATGACCTTTTTACACTGTCTGGTTTAACGTTAATGTTGTTTTCTTGTGTTTACATAGATAAATATGGCCACAGTGTAAATGTGCAGTACAGTTACAAACTTATTTCTACATTATATCATTATAATAACTTGATATTGTTGCCTTTAGTGATTTCATAAAGATAAATACCAAATAATGCAACTGGAATAACTATATAGAGTAACTCACCATCGTCAATCTCATATGAAGTCAGAGATCACAATGATGTATGATGATGTGTGCTGGCAGGCAGGTACGTATTGTAGTGGTATCTCATTTCTTAGGGGCACATTTTGATCCCATTAAAACTCTGTTTCAAGGGTCAAGAGGAAGGGGAACAAAACTGAAATTGGCATTGGGCCTTAAAATAAGTTTCAAGAGTTCAGACTTGATTATTGATAATATTGCAAGTTTGGCATGCTGTCCCAGTAAAGAGCCCTGAGCTCAGAAGATCCTTAAGCCCGGGGCTCCCTCCCATTTCATTGGGAGAGAGGGGAGTCTGAGCTCAGGTAGGTCTTGAGAGCTTTGTTTACTCTGCCTGTTTCTTGATTATTAGGGGTTGTCACAGCGGAATGAACTGCCAACTATACTAGTATATAGCTATGCAGTGAATGCCCAGCACTAAAACACTTATATATTGTAGCAATTTAATTAATTAAATTCACTTATACTACATGTCTTTGGACTGTGGGAGAAAACTGTAGTACCCCAGGGAAACCCACGCAATCACAAGGAAAATATGTTAACTTCACACTGAAATGCCAACTGGCCAAGCCAGGACTCAAATCAGTGACCTTCTCGCTGTGGGGCAACAGTGCTAACCACTGAGCCACCGTGCCACCCCTGTCCTGGATTCATCTAGGAAAGAGGGGGAAGAGTAAGGGTGGATGAGGGATTCTTCGAGGTGAAGTAAATTGTGATAAGGTAAGATAAGATCTGGTTATTTATGTGCACTTGGATTCATCTGATTGGTAAATCATATGATAGCTAATGCGAGGCCAGCCGTGGTCAATCATAGGCATGTGATCCTCATAAAATTAGTTGTAATTAGTAAACTTCACCTATATCCATCCAAGTTCGAAAACACTATTCTTTTATTTTAAAATAAGCCCTTTTCTCTCAGTGTTTGACACAATGTTCTTTCCAAGAGTCTACTCTGCTCTCATTGGTCAGATGGCACTGTCTGTTGTGATTGGTCTACCACCTGCAGAGAAACAAAGCTCATTATATCTGAATTTAGCCTATGGAAACTTCCTCCACACTTATACAAAACTGACATTATGCATATTTGTTTGTCTATCATTGGATTGGAAGTCACTTAGAGTTCTCCGTAAATTCTGAAATTTGAATGGCTTAAAAAAAAAAAAAAGATTTCTTTTTAGATTTGTACCTAGTTTCTATGATATAAAACTGTCATTGTATCCTTATGTCTGCCTTACAGTAGCCTCTTTAACTTGTCCTGTCCTTGATGAAATAACCAACTGCTTAAAATGGATAGAGCAAAGGCTTTCCTCTAGAGGACCAGCTACTCTTACTTTATTGGTGGGATGTCCTCTTGAGAATTTTGATGAAGATTGTTTAGAACTAAGTCATCAGGTCCCCTGGAATGAAAAGACACTCAAGGTGTTTTTGAAGAGTGCTTGATGAGGACCTGCTTAAGACTATGCCACTGGGGATCTCCAGCTGTTCACTTATGCACTACATAGAGTAAGGCCCATATACACTTTAAAAGAAATCAAAGAATGAAATAAAATCTGCCAGAATCTAAGTTTTTTTTAGTTCTATTTGGCAGTTCAGAACAGCTCACTAAAGCAAACATTTGTGGGAGTCCATCAGTTCCTCTTTAGTTGATCTTAGTTCTCTAAACATTCATTGATTTTTTTTTTTTTCGGCTTAGTCTCTTTATTTATCAGGAGTCGCCACATGAACCGCCAACTTATCATATGTTTACGTAGCAGATGCTCTTCCAGCCGCAAGCCAGCACTGGTAAACACTACTTCAAAATTAAAACTAGGGAACAGGCAACTTGGCATTTTGCAGCGGTTTCATTTCGTTCGGTGCAACAGAAATGTGGCTTAGAGAAGACTTTACGATTAGTAAACTGTGAGGAATTAAAGCGCAGTTAATAGTGAAATCGGCTAATCCTTGCATCCCTATTAACAATATCAGTGCATTGTACAAATAGCCTTTTCTATCAAATGTTTTCAGCTGTCCACACCACTCGCTTATGATGACTCACGCTCTGTGCTGCCTTTAACTGCAGCTTGTGCTGTTATTGAACAGACGCACGTAACTTCATAGCTATAGCGGCTGTTTGTCGACTGAACTAAATTTATTTTTGATGTCTTGGTCACACTGTTTGGAGGGGCAGAACAAAGTGCCTCGGGTTCTGGATTCGGCCCGCGGGCCGCCAATTGAATAGCCCTGCCCTAGACTAAACTTGGGCCCTTGGACCAACTCACCCCAAAGTGGCTACTTAGGGCGCACTCGCACTAGGCTATCCGAATTGTGCCACGGTACATTTCCCAGGTCGTTTGACAAGTGTGAGTGCTCCGAATCTGGCCCAGGCATGATTCAGTTGGCTGGCCCTGGCCCGGTTGGAAGAGTTGTGCAAGAGCGCGGTTCCGTTGCCAAACTGAAGACACAACTGTACTTTTAAGGAACTGTTTCAAATGGATTTATTAATCATTCTTACTTTTCAATCAGCACAAACTGTCATAGTTTATGAAAGATGTAAACCCCTCACTGTACATCAGCTGCCAACTTCAGCAAACCTCCTAATACCTGCAGCATGTGGACTTTTATGAGCGTCAAAAGATCTGTTCTGCAAAATATTTTTTCTGCATGTCATGGCATACTGTACCAAATGACAAAAAATGATAGAAAATTATATAACTAAAACAATATACACTGTGCTGAGGAAGAGCGCTGCTCTTGCTAAGTGAACAGTCACATCATCGATGACGTAAGCGTGCACTGCATTTAAAGCAACCGTGCCAAGTGAGAGTACGACCTAAGTCACTCTGACACTGCTCCCCCCTGTCCCCCAGCTTTAGCCTTTTGCACGGATTCTTCATCTCTATCTTTGAAATAGGAGTGCCCATAGATATAAAACAGATTAAAAACATAACTAGGCCTAGTGGACCTTTTAAAAGCTTTTGTAGACAATGGATTTGCCTTTCAGTGTTTACTGAACAATAACATTTCTATTAGTTATGAGACCTCACCAGTAATCAGCTGACAGTGACAATGATGTCTCGGTAGTTCAGATTCGCAAATGAGCACCATGGCTTTGGCCTGAACCCTGACATGGGTACTTTTAGTTAGGAAATGACTGCAGTCATGAGATGGGCTGCCAGATAACCATGTTCATTTACTCAAAAAGCTTACTCACTGCCCTGCTGTGGAAATTACATTGGCACTTGTCAATCCCAGCCGGCATTGTCACTCATGCACTGTGTGTCCTTGCTGCCTCCTCAATAGCCATTTCCTCCTTCAGTCCACACATCTGTTCCTGCCCCATACGTCATGCACAGTTGTTATAAGATGAGTAGATTTTATAATTTGGAAAAGATGAAACTAATTTGATATGATGCCCCATTTCCTTCAGCTTATTTTCATGTTTATTTTATGCACCAAAGACATTTATGTTATCAGGCTTTATATGAATCCAAAGTGTTCTTTGAAATTGTGTGCATGTGGCTTGGCAGCTAAAGGCTGTAAAAGTATGATTATACACTAAATTCTCACAGCCATTATTATGCCCCCAGAGCACACAGCAGTCATGCGCTGAATCATGTCAACAGGGACGACTGACCAGCAGTCTCATATGTTTGTTTTTGTCTGTGTGTATGGCCCTTTTTCAAGACAAAGCAACAACAACAAGGCACCCATTATAAAATCTTAAAATGAGCACTGTATATACAAACCTGTCTGTTCCATTGTTTATTGTATTCAAATAAAAACAACAATGTTATAATGATATAATAATAATAATTCATTATGTTTGTCGTAATAATAAATGATCGTATTATAATCATTGATTTCTCTTACCTACCACTTTGCTATTACTGGGTTGGACCCTCTTTTGTGTTCAGAACTGCCCTAATCTTTCAAGGCATACATTCAACAAGGCACTGGAAATATTCCTCAGAGATTCTGGTTCCTACTGACATGATAGCATCATGCAGTTGCTGCAGATTTGTCGGCTGCACATCCATGAAACAAATCTCCTATTCTACCACATGCCAAAGGTGCTCTATTGGATTGAGATCTTGTGACAGTGGAGGCCATTTAAGTACAGTGAACCCATTGTCATGTTTAAGAAACCAGTCTGAGATGAATTGCGATTTATGACATGGCACGTAATTCTGCGGGAAGCAGTCATCAGAAAGTGGGGACACTGTGATCATAAAGTCATGCACATGGTCAGCAACAATACTCAGGTAGGCTTGACACATCAATTGGTATAAATGAGCCAAAAGTGTGGCAAGAATATTACACAATTACACCACCACCACCATCACCAACCTGAACCATTGATACAAGGCAGGATGGATCTATGCTTTCATGTTGTTGATGGCAAATTCTGACCCTACCATCCGAATGTTGCAGTAGAAATAGAGACTCATCAGACCAGGCAACGTTTTTTTCAATCATCTATTGGCCAATTTTGGTGATCCTGTGCAAATAGTAGCCTTAGTTTCCTGTTCCTAGCTGACAGGAGTGGCACGGGGTGTGGTTTTCTTCTGCTGTAGCTTATCAGCCTCAAGGTTTAATGTGTTGTACATTCAGAGATGCTCTTTTGCATCCCAGGGTTGTAACAAGTCTGGCGATTCTCCTCTGACCTCTGGTACCAACAACACATTTGTGCCCACAGCACTGCTGCTCATTGGATTTTTTCCCTTTTTTGGACTATTCTCTATAAACCCCTAAGATGGTTGTGTTGCAGCAGACCATCTTTACCATGTTTACATGCCTAAATGGATTTAGTTGCTGCCATGTGATTGCCTGATTAGAAATTTGCGTTATTGAGCAGTTTGACATACTATCTAATAAAGTGACCAGTGAATAAAACAAATAAATTAATATCTTTATTGGGGTTGCCACAGCTGAATCGTGGCAAAAAAAATAAATAAATAAAAAATCACATTGTTGCTTCTTCTGTCTCTCTAGGGACTCAAAGTCAGCTTAATGTAGAGCGCTCGAAAAGTCGTATGGGGACATTCGTGGAGACAGCAGCTTCAACAGCCGCCGAGGGCTCACAGGATGACGGGTGAGACATGCGCTTACAGTCTAAATATATTACAAAACAACACTCAATATTACCAGCAGCACAGGAGCTTAAAACGACTAAATGCTAATGACTTAATACATCCAAACAGCTTCTATCCTCTGTAAATCATTTTGTCATTCACATACTCATAACTTTGCATTAGTGGTGAGGTATACCAGGCGCAAATTAAACTCACACAAACGCGTACGTATACTCCCCTCATTACATTGGCAACACAATGAATTCCCTCTCACAATATGGCAGTTTCTCTCTAGGGCCTGAGAGTAATTTGATTCTTCTCGCAAGCAGCGCTGCCAAACAGCCCACGTCTTTGTGGTTCACAACAGTAACGGAGTGATTGGGATTTCCACTTGCTTTGAGAGAGGCTTTTTTCGCTTCCCTATTGGGCTCGCATTATATTCAATCGCTGGAGCCAATCACTTCCAGGACGTTATTTTGATTGACCCTCTCTGTGACATTTTTATGGTCATATAAGAAGCACTACAGAGTAGCGAGATTGCCCCGTTTTCCACCAGCGTGAGTTGCCTTTAGAGTTTACATTCTGCACATAGATTGGAGCCTGAATGTCTCTTCTGATCTTTAAAAAATGGAGAAAGGAAGGTGTTGACAGCTTCCCATTATGAGCTTATTGGTCTCAAACCAACAAAGAAGTTGCTGTAGATGTGGTTGTCATGGCGACTTACACCACTGCCTTCACTCATAATGTCATATATGTTGCAAGAGGACTTGGCTCTGCCTATTCAACTTAGATAAGTGAGCACACACGCTTATCCTGTGTTAACGTGCATCCAGTGTTGTGTGTTTTTTTTTTCTCCTCTAGGCCTTCAGCTGATGTTCCAGATATCTTGGGCAGGCGAAAGTTTAAGTCACCATCTTCTGATCAAGAATAATGACTGGATCCAGGAGTCTCATTAAAGAGCAAACAGTATTCATTTCACTATAAGCAAAGCTGATCTCTGCTTACAGCTCATTACAGTGTGCAATCTGATATCACACATATAAACAGTGTGTCTGATATAAAATGAAAACAGTGTTTGATGAAAGCGGGTTGAAAATCATGCAGAAGCAACAGCCATGTTAATGAAGAAAGAAAAATTCTGTCATTATTTACTTACTATAATGGTTGACATTGGGGCTGGGTAATGGGACGGGGTGGGGGGGGGGTCCAATTCCATTGACATATCAGAAAAACAATCTAGTGCTCTGTAGTACTTGGTTATTGCAATAAAAATATCAATTGGAGTGTCATAAAGCCGTGTCAATCAGCTCCTCCATCAGTAGATCAGTCATATATTGTCCCGTTTTCACTGATTGGGATATTATGGTACAGGTCGGTATGGGTCACCTTTATCAGGGTTGCGTTTCCACTGCCAAAATGGTACCGATAGCATGTACAACAGAAAGTTTTAGTTTACGTCATTTTCGTTTGAGAATAGCATATTAACATATCATATGAGAAGCATTTCTCATATAAATACTTGTGTCTAAATGTTCATTACTAACTTTTCTATGAACATGACTTAATTATAACTGCAGATCAATGATAATTACAAAAATTAAAATAGCCTACTGTAACATCTGCGATTATATAAAATAAATAAACAAATACAACATATACAGTATGAACACATACAGACCCTTACAGTCTCTGATTGGTTATAAATAACCGAAAAACTACACACATCATACATTTAGTCGTTATTTAGGTTCAAAAACCACACAAAGCATATAGCCCATAGTCAGTGCAAACCTCTAATCTGCATCTTTAGTGTTCACCAGCACATGGCAGTTTGTTCATGTTTTAGGTTGCTGAAAAAATAATTTGCGCCTTTGTTTTTTTGGGCTCCTCCTTTGTTTTTTCACGCTTCAATCATGCGTTTGTCCATTTTTTAAAGGATTGGATGTCAGAAGAATTTTAATAATCACATGCATGTTATCATCATCAGCTCAAGAAGTTTGTTATTTTAAATATAGACGCGCACATTTTCTCTCTCTGTCTCTCTCTCTCTCTTGAGAAAGCGAAACTGCTTACGCTTTAGTCGGCCTTGTAAATAACTACGATGCACAGGAGAAATTCTGCTCTTCTGCTTGGCTTTGTGGCTGTTTATCATGACGATGACAAGGTTTGTTTAAGCTTGGGTCGACCATGGCTCTCTATGATATGTATATTATTATGATGTAATGTCTCGGCTGTGTATTTAAAAATGGTGCTTCCTTTGTTATCATTCTCCTGCTTGTGTATGTGCTGGTGACGTTTCTTTGTAAACCAATAGCGTCAATCTTTAGCTCTGCCTGTTTTGGTACCCTTTTGTCATACAAAGGGTACCCAAAAAGTGGTACGGTATGGTCAACTTTTTGGTTCCTTTTGACAGTGGAAATGGCCATAAAAGAGTACTGAACCGTATGGTACCGTACCACTTATTAGTGCATGGTTAAGTTTAACTTAATGGTTAAGATAGACTTGACTTTCACATGATCCCACATCTGTCATTAAATGGAGAACAAGAATTGATGATCAGTTCAGCCAATCACTGACATTTCTGTTAAGCTTGTGAAAACAGAACAGTCAACCATCACTTGGCTGATATTTGTCATGCTAGATATTTGTTTTTTGTGCAGTCTGTTCTTTTGCTGATCATCATGAGATCACAAACCTGTTAATGAGCTTATTAACTTGCAATTTCAATCCACTGCAAATACAAGCCTCAGACTATATTTAGCGACAATTAAATCTTTAAAGTGAATGCTACGGGGTGGTATGATGCCGTTCCTTTACGCGAGAACAGTTGAACGCTTACCTCCGTATGGAAAGTTTTTCCACTGTTACCAGTTTGTCCAGTGGCTCACCATATACATCAGCGTACTTGAGACTCAGAACAGAGTTAACCACGACAACGGGATTTGAGTCTGGTGAAAAATGGTTCCAGAAAGCAGGTAAGACAAAAAAAAAAAAAAAAAAAGACAAAAAGTAAAAGAAAGAAGTAAATAACAGGCTGGGAATATTGTAAAATTTGAAAACATGGTAAAAATCAGGCTGCCATAAGGGCTGTTTATTTTCTGGATTGCTTTTGAAAACACTGTCAGTTGGGTTTAGGAAAGTGGGTGGGTGCTGGTCAATAGGTGCTTTTGAAAACACTATCGATTGGTTTAGGGAAAGGGGAGGGTAGATCAGTTGATTGGTCAGTCAGTCAGTCGACAGCAGCCTCTGATGGATTTATGCAAGATGGGTATGCATGAATGGCACTTGGGAGAGAAATTGGAGACTTCAAAAAGCCTACACAGGACCATCTGGTGGATTCACAAAAAAAATAAAAATAAAAGAATAATAATAAATAAATAAATAAATAAATAAATAAATAAATAAATAAATAAATAAATAAATAAATAAATAAATAAATAAATAAATAAAATAAAATAACTGGGTGTATTTGGCACTCTCAGGAAATGTATATAGAGGTATATTTTCTGAATTCCCCTGGGTTGAATTGGATGAACATAAATTACAATAATGTACAAATGAGATAAATTGTGTAGTGTACAAATTTATACAAAACAGCCAGTAGAGTCAAATAGAAATGAATGGCCATGAGACTGCATTGGTTGAAACAACCCAAAATTGTTTAGAGTGTAAAGAATATATTTTGATGAACTGGTCATGCTTAATAAATGAAAGTACATTTCAAAAACTAGGCTGGGGTCCAAACATCATTTTTAAGAGAATTTTGTTTACATTACCTGTTTAAAAGAGCATCTGGAACATAATAAACAGTCAGTCAAATGTACACATTTGACAAATGCATGTGTTCATTGATCAAACCCATGATTACTTAACTACTATTTTTAGATGCTCTACCAATCAAATAAGACAATTCACTAACTAGGCACAATGCAAATTGTCTTTGTAGGGACCCATACAGATTGGAGTACAGTTTGCCTCATTATGACCCACCAAATTCAGTTCACTGCTATTTACAAATCCTTATCTGTGGCCTCATGGAATGAAGTGTCAGTCATGTGCAGAATCTAGCTGACAGTCTTTTTTGTCAGGTACAGTACTTCTAGTCTGCTCTTTTTTTTGAGTCCCTGTGAATTCGGACACACTGTACTACTCACATACAGTATTGTTTTTTCACCAACTTTAGGAATACTTATTTATGAATTCAATACCACCACATATACTAGCAACAGAAAGTTTCAAGCATGGTCTTGGGATTTAAGAAAGGGATTTAAGAAACTGTGAACGTACTAGAGAAGACATATTTTTAAGAGTCAGTAGGATGCAGCTAAGTGCTCACTTAAGTGAACACAACAGATGGTTTCCAGATAAAGTTATCTTTTAAGTCTCTATGATATCTTTAATGAAAGTAACTTTCCCTTATCCTTGCTATGACATCCATTCTTTTTTTCGATGGCATATTTTTGAGGAAGAACAATGCCAAACAAGATCACAGCAATAGCAAACCACAACCAACCACTCACAATCAGATTCTGATGGACTACATGAAGTCCCAGACATTTTTTTCTTGTGTTTGTGTTGCCAGATTGGGTGGTTTTGAATTTCATTAAAAAAAAATTGCATAGATAATTTTGGGAGGTTTTGAAACATAAATTTGATATGGAACTTACAGTATATAACAAAACATAACTGTGTGCTCCTACATTAAGTTAGTAAAGACCAGTGCATAGTGCAAACCGTGTGGGCCTCTACAGTGCCTGCAAGAGGAGGTGAAGGAAAGTTGTAACAAAATCTGACTCCCTGGACAAATCTGTCTCCCCTTTGCGTGCACGGCACGCGCATCACGCTGCTACTACAGTTAAACTCACAGCGGTTTATCATGACACTTTTATCTATCTTTATTCAACAATTAACAGCAAGAACAAACTTAGAAATTTTGCCTGACTGACAAGCAGCACCTAATTATGTTCAAAAGAATTTAAAACGCCAAATATAAACCATGTATTCCCCTTTTTCGAAAGTAAAACATATTCTAATAGGTAGTGTAATACACACACCATGAAGTGCATTGTGTGGGTCAGAGGGGGCAGTGTTTCAATGTGATCCAGTTATGTTGTGGTTCTGTGACTGCTGATGTTGGTTGCTGGATAATTAAAAAATTATACCAGTTAAAGTACAAGATAATTCAGATTGAAATAAATTAAAATGAATCCAAATATCAATCAAATATTTTGGGCATTTTTTTGTGCGTTTGGATGGGTTTTGAGCAGCTTTTGGGCAGGAAAAGCTATATCTGGCAACACTGTCTTCTGTGCAGCTGTTTCATTATACTGTACATGACGCAAGACATAAAATGAGAGAGAGAGAGAGAGAGAGAGAGAGAGAATAATTCTGATAAAGCCAAATTCTGATAAATCCAATTCATGTAGGTTTAAAAGAGGTGAACTGTGCTTGAATTGGCGTGACAGATTGTAGACTTGGAAGCAAATGGCAAACTTAAAAAAACAACAACAACAACCCTTCAACACGAGGCTTTTATTATTATTATTATTAATATTATTATTATTATTATCAATATTATTATTATTAATAAGAATATTAATAAATATTATTTGAATATTATAAAATATAAACTTGCAGTACGTGATCAGCCTAATCTGTCGTCTAAAAAAACCACACCTCCTGAAATCGTGAACGCGCACATTAAAGATGACAGCAGACAACCTACTGAATCATGTCAAGAAAACTTTATAGTACTTCATAATACTACAATTCTGAATAAAATCTGTATTATGTGTAGCACGTTTTAAGTTGTGTGATTAGCAAGCGAAACTTGTTGTAATTTGCAATATTTCATGCATGTGATTATCGCTGGTCTCACTCTCTCACATACTTTGTCCTTAAGCTTGGTTCTGCATTGAGTGATTGGCCTGACCCACGGCTCATGCCTTGTGCGTAGCTGTGCATTTATACTTCTGCATGCTGTTTGTGTTGCTCTGCAATAACACTTCCCAAAACACTATAGCTGACAGTATTTTTTTATGTTCCTTTGTGTCAAGTTTCTTTGCGGGTGTTTTGTTTTTTCTGAACACTACCTTAATGTACAAGTAGCTCAAACTCACTAATTTTGAGGCAGGACCCAGTGGATGTGCAAAAACTTTAATAATAAGGTAAACACAAAACAATAGTTTGCATCTTTATCTCCTTTACGGTAGTAAACTTGTGAACAATCACTCCAATGGGTTTGCACAGCTTTAGGTCCCACCCACACTAGTCAGCGTTACCAAGCCAACCAAGCACAGAGCTTGTGCTACGCGTTGTTATGACGTGTAGTTACATTTTTAAAAAGAGGTGCGCGTCAGCCTTGCTGACAATCACGTTGAGGGTTATGGGACCACGCAAAGGCTGCTGCGGAACAAATGCCTTTGCTTGATGCAGCAATATAAATCAGCCTTGAGACTACTGTATGATTAGTGGTTGGCTGGTGGGGTGCCGGAATAACACTTATTACTAAGCCATACTTACATGCTATTTCAGACCAAATATTCAAAGTAACATGGTAAACAATATGGGGAGCATGTCACAGGTTGTCATTGTTCAAAAATTAACCAATGCTATGTGAATAATAAAAAAAAAACAACTTCTCCTCAGTAAAGCAGGCCAGGCGGAATAACGCTATTTACCGATGTTTTGTTGTTAAACTAAATAAAAAATCTACATTGTCGATGCTGTAAAAGGTCCCTTATGAAATTAAAAATAGTCATCAATCTTACACTGGATTTCAGAGATTTCAGTGGCTGAACAACTCTTTGTTGCATAAAACCCATTCATAAAACAACACAATCTACATGCTTTACATGACTGAAACAGCTTAAAAACCAAAAAAAAAATTACCTGTCTAAAAGAAATACTTTAGCCATATATCATCCTTCCTCTGGCGGATTTGCATGAATGGTTGCGCAGATGTACAAATCTATATTTGTTGACAGACAGTTTGAGCTCCTTACCAGAATTATGGGAATTGTTGGCCCGACAATATTTAATTACTAAACATATTTTAGTTTTATGCCTTACCGAGAATATAAAAAGTCATAAAAACACATTTAGATTATTTACTTTAATCATTAGTATTGGAATGTGAAGAGACTTTCAATCAGCATAAAAAAAAAATGTTTCTGAAGACAAACACCTACTGCATCTTTACAAGAACATCTGTTTGTCCACCAATGTAAACTGCACTTAATGTAGCTGCAACCACTTACATCTATAGGTGGACGTAAGATATCCATAAGACAGAACCACTAACTTAATCAGTGACACTGTTTACACACTTACCTAAACCACACACTTTCTATTGAGATATCAGAGAACAACTTACCAACACATTGTATCAGTTCATTTTATGTCAATTGTAAATTAAGCTAATAGTGTCATTTCAGCACACACTTGTTTACCTGTTGGATTTGGTCTCTGACATGCCTACTAAAGCTTAGCCATAGCCTTTTGCAGCTTTAGAAATGACTCAGGCGCTCACGTAGTGTATGAACACGTAACGTGCGCGGCACAGATTCATTGTGCATCCCACGCAGACCATCAGTGACACGCTAAGGCTGAATATGCAGTATCTGTCCTTGCATGGCGACAAGGAAGAGAGACGGTGCCTGCTGTTGCCAAGAGCTCTGACGTACTCTAATGACTGAATTATACACCATTGTACTGGACGTCTCACACAATATCATAGAGACAAGTTTCAGGCGACTGGGAAGAAAATTAGTTCATGAAAAAAACAGTGTTAATCAAGGCAGTAATGATAACTAGAGATGTAATTAACCAAAAAGTGTCTAGTAAACAAAGAAATTGAAGGAGAAGTGAATTGTGTATTATAATTATTACGATGCTCATACGGTGGCCACACTGATACATAGATACATATATTTCACCTCATGGTCTAAAGTATGCTAAAGGATAAAAGGTTTTCATACTGTGCTGTTTTCTATAGATGACCTTCTTTTGTATTTTTCCTTAGAAATATTTTCCATGGTTACCATATTCAAAGTACAACAGCGACTAGAGGTACGCTACTACTATTTTTTTCACTGCATCAAAAGTGTGCAAAATGTATGAACAAAAATCGATATTTATGGTGGTATAGATACCAAATGTTATACATGCATATGCTTCCATGTTATCAGGTTTAAGTGTCATGTCCACAATGACTATAATTTGTCAAACAGTTTTGTAAGGGAAGATTCAAGAGACTCAAATGCCAAATGCCTATTAGAGCTTGAAGATTACCATAATATTATCACTTGCAGCCATAACTGTTATCAACAAAATGTAATAACAAACATTGTATTTGACAGACATTAGAGTCACCATTGTACAATTTTGTGAGGGAACATGTATGTGAAAAATAAACTATTGATCAATAAAATTGGAATAATTAAAATTTTATTTCTAAATATTTTTGAAAGACATCTCCCTATGTTCATAAAACAGCATTTATTTAATAAAAATACAGTAAAAACAGTACTATTGTGAAACATTTTTACAATTTAAAAACATGCTTTCCATTTTACAAAAATTTACAATGTAATTTGAATTCCTTAAATGGCAAGACATAGGACTTTATAATATACCTGGCACAATAAGGCGTAAGACGTGTTTCGTGCATTTTGTTGCTATTTTCAGACCAATGCAACCCTAATTTTCCTGTTTTCCGCCATGTTGTTTGAATAGTAATCCATTTGCACCACTTTGTGGACTCATGAGTGTTCCCGTCTAGAAAGGAAGTTTGTTAAGGCGCATTGTTAATGAACTAAAATAGACTGAGCAATTGACCAACTGAAAGCTAGTCTAAAGTCCACACAGAACACGTTAGTTGTGCGCCTTTAACACTTACACATTGCTTAATACACACAGGATGTACAACAATACGCAAATTATTAATTATATCAGCAGCAGGGTGGATTACTGTAATAGACTCCTCACTGGTCTTCCTAAAAAGACAGCCAGACAGTTACAGCTCATCCATAATGCTGCAGCCAGAATTCTAACCAGAACCAGAAAATCAGAGCACATCACACCTGTCCTCAGGTCTTTACACTGGCTGCCAGTTACATTCAGAATAGATTTTAAAGTATTATTACTGGTCTACAAATAACTAGATGGCCTAGGACCTAAATACATCACAGATATGCTAACTGAATACAAACCTAACAGATCACTCAGATCTTTAGGATCATATAAACTAGAAGTTCCAAGAGTTCAGTCAAAGCAGGGTGAATCAGCTTTCAGCCACTATGCCCATCGCTGCTGGAATCAGCTTCCAGAAATGATCAGATGTGCTCCAACATTAGGCACATTCAAATCAAGACTGAAAACACATCTGTTTAGCTGTGCCTTTACTGAATGAGCACTGTGCTGCGTCCGACAGATTGCACTATCATGTTTTTCTCTTCTTCTTCATTCTTTTATATCACATTTGACCTGTTTTTATGTTTTGTTTTGTTTTTACGCATTTTTATTATTTGTTTTTGTTTTTATTTTACTTGTTTCTTTTATTCTTGTTTATGTAAAGCACTTTGAATTGCCACAGTGTATGAAATGTGCTATATAAATAAACTTGCCTTGCCTTGCCTTAATTACAAAAATGATTATTTTCTACATAAATATATAAACAACTGCCGGCATCTACCGCCTTCATCTAGGGGGCTTTTTTTAGTTTATTCATAACAATTTGCTTTTATATAATGATATTATTATTATATGCATATTTATATTTGCTTTATTAAAAACAATCTTAGATTTGCCCACCTGTCAGGGTTTAGACCATAGAGGGTATAAGACGTGTGTTAGGATATAACTCTTTTTGACCACACTTCATTACTATTGTTCCTTTATTAGTTTGCTGGAAATTAGAACTGAATTTAGAAATAGTTTTAAAACAAATCTTTGTGCTTAACAAACTAAATTAAATATGTAGGTGAATGGATGTCTTCAGTGGAGTGCGAACAATACCGTTTCCTTATCCCCGAAAGTAAAGAGTAAAAGTAAAATAAAGTGAAAGTAAAGAGGCCAAATGGAGAAGGCTCGTTCGTTATCCCTGCACTGCAGATAGTCTGTTTCTGTTTTCTCGCTAGTGAAGTGTTCAGTTTTTCCCCTTATAAAGTCCATCATGTAAATAGCTAATGAATCATGGTGTGATGCAACTGACTCTTAAAGGGAATGTGAGATGAGACTCTGATTGGTTTAATGCACCTTATGTTTAAAACACAAACATAACTCATTAAGAGAATAAGCACAACCCTGTTAGCGTATTTTTCCAGCCTGATCTCATGAGAAAACATATTTTACGTTTTGCTAGTTTAGTGGCTAATTCGTACGAATTCATACGAGTTTAGTCGTAGAAAAATGTACGATTTTAAAAAGGAGGCGTGGCACCTAACCCCACCCCTAAACCCAACCATCATTGGGGGATGAGCAAATCGTACTAAATTGTATTAATTAGATTGTACGAATTCATACGAATTAGCCACTAAATCAAAAAGTTACGAATTGCCGTGAGATTGTGTTGCATTTTTCCCTCCTTAAAATAGCAAAAGTGGATTCGGACATGCCCTTAATGTTTTTGCGATTTAGACTTTGCGCCTGGATTGTTAAAATAGAGCCCTTGGTTTCAGTCATTACTCCAGATTTAGATGTCATGCTTATGAAAAAAAAACTAAAAACATTTGCAAATAATGAAATATTTACTGTAGTTTTGGTCAAATAAATGTTGACATTGTAAGCATTTTTTAAAAATACCTCCAAAGTATTACATTTAGGAATTTTAACAGATGCTAAGGTTGAGATGGGTTATAAAACTTTATAAGGAGTTTGCAGTTTGTGACTGTATTATTTATTCAATTGTATTCATTACACAATCATATTATTTATACCATAATCAAATGTGATACAATTAGCTGGTTTTCATCTTAACATAAAGTGGATTGTTTAATAAAAATGAAAGTTTTTTTTTGTTTTTTTTTTGAGCGTATAAATCAGTTTGTAAGTCTAAATATATTTGGAAGTTAATCTAAAGAAAGTTTAAGGTGATGGGTCACTGTTTTGGAGCACACTTATACACTGCAAAAAAAAAAAATTAAATAAAATAAATAAATAAATAAAAATAATAAAATGGGTTACATAATGTTGTAGGACAACGTGAAGGGATTAAGTTAACTTCTTAGTTTTTACAAATTTAAGTGGATTGAGCAAAACAATAAGAATTAATAATTATGTTGTTTAGTTTGAATAACCAGTAGAACGTCATTTTTAAGTGTAATCCTAAGTTTAACATATATAACCCCCTCAAAATGTTTATTTCTAGTTTAGGGTGTCTTTTACCGTGTGTTGGGTTTACAGTTTGGCATATCATGAAGAAACGTTGAGCAGTGGGAGCCGCTGATGATGAGAGGATCCTCCTCCATACACACTCATTGAACACATGCACACCCGCTCATTCGCATCACTGCACACATCAACACACGGGCTTCCGAGCAACCTGTTACTGCCAGCAATAAAGGGCAATGTTAACACACATTTCTTCTATTTTCGTTATGTTTTGTAATAGATAAACAAATAATATTCGTTTACTGAGAGAAGTCTTGTCAGTCTGATAGCGGAGACTCGAATCCAGCGCGCGGAGCGGAGCGGTGACGTGTTTTGAGTGACAGGAGTGATGATCTTAATATGAGTCGGGCATCAGAACTCGCATGAAAAACCGGATTTATTTGATCGGCGTTTTTGATTCAGAGGGAATACAGGCTTTGCACGTACAAGGAGACATCTATCATCAAGCCAGTGTGATTCCTCTGGACATCGACTCAGCGGTAAGACGTTTTCTTATCCAAATAGAAACGCATGTCATATTTCTAAATCACCGCATGTCTTCCTATAACGGTTACAGCTCACAGCATCTTGGAAAGCACATGTACATTTGTTGTAAATAATATCTTTAACCACATTTAAGCCTCTCATGAGCTTAATCACATCCGGTAAAAAGGGGGAGAAATCAGCATTCAATGCTCATTGCTCCTATTTATACCTACGCATTTTAATGATTCATTTTACACCGCTAATGACAGTGTGATCTAAACGGGTATGTGTAAAATGATAGCACAAGTTTGATTCAAGAAGTAGCCAAAAATGTGACCTTGGTGTTGTGAAAACCTTCAAAATATAGGGCAAATGGATTGTGCAAATCTCTTGTCATTGGATAATGAGGCATTCACTGTTAAAAAAAATAAATAACATTCATTTAAATTGAATAATATATACAAATATGTACAATGATATAGTAATAACAAGTTAAGGGTAAGCTATTGCAATAGTAAGATGCACATAGTGTATATGCACAGATACAATGCCATTCAAAAGTTTGGGAACAGCAATTAATTATTTTTATTTTTAAAAAAAAGAAGTGGATCTCTTAAACTAAGCCTTGTATGAATACAGTATGCAGTAATATGAAATATCACAATTTAAAGTAAACATTTTTACTTTAATATATATTGTGATGTTTCCAGCATCATTACTGTAAGCTTCAGTGTCAATGATCCTTCACAAATTGTTCTATGTGGTGTGCAGCTCAAGAAACACCTTATATTGATAATATTGAAAACAGATTTGTGCTGCTTAATATTGTTGTAAAGCTGATACATTTTCCATTGAAACATAAAAAAGTATTTCTTTTAAATCAAATTAATTGTACATTTCTTTAATTCATCATTATAAAAGTATTTAATAATCATACTGACCCAAAACCTTTAAATATATTCTATTAATGTAATCCTAATCAAGAATCCTATCCCTAAAAACAAGCATAGTTTTATACATAAAAAAAACATAATCTAATTTGTTTACAACATCTTGAATTTATTAAGAGATGTGGCATTGTTGTGCACAATCAATTATTATCTTTATATTCATCTTAATATGATCATGTAAACTGGAACGTTTATGCTACATGCAGTTGATATTTATCACATTTTTTTCATAGTCATATAATATGTTACCCTTATAGTGTCATCTTTACTTGCTCTCCTGTTTCGTATTATTGCACAACTACTAAAGAGACCAACTTAACTTTAAGTCATTATTTGGCCTTCCAGTTAACTACTCATGTAATTACATATCATTTCTCTACATGCAACAATAACAAGGCTGCTCACCTTTCATTTGTTGCAAACCTTTATGATTCTTCATTCTGTTACACGCAAAAGAAAATATTTTAAAGAAAGCTAAAAACCTGTAACCACTGAACTTACAACTTGCCTAATTAACCTGCTTAGTTAACCTAAGAAACCTAGTTAGGCCTTTAATTATCACTTTAAGCTGTATAGAAGTGTCTTGAAAAATATCTAGTAAAATATTAAGCAGGCGTCACAGTGGCGCAGTGAATCGCACAATCGCCCTTACAGCAAGAAGGTCACTGGTTCGAGCTTCGGCTGAGTCAACTGGCATGTCAGTGTGGAGTTTGCATGTTCTTCCCAAGTTCGCGTGGGTTTTCTCCGGGTGCTCTGGCTTCCCCCACAGTCTAAAGACGCGGTATAGGTGAATTGGGTAAGCTAAATTGTCCATGAACAGCAAAATCCTAGTAAAATTTACTTAGTTCAGAGAATATTTGGTCTCTCTCTAAATTAAGTAAAATTTACTCAGCAGCAGAGTTAAAGATAATGAGACAATAATGGGGTTAATTAAGGGATGTTTGAGCACTGATGATGAACACCTGCTGTAATAAGCAGAAACAGCAGAAAAGCAGCAGCAGCAGCTTTGCTTATTGCTTACCTGTTTGACTATTTCTGTCAGATGTTCACAAAAGTCCATATGAGATTTAAATAACTGTTTTAAATATTTACATTTTACAAAAAAACAACAAAAGAACATGTTTTTACCCCAGATGTCACCATCATGGAGAAAAGTGGTTGATTTACTTGGGCCCTTTGACTTGAATTGTGTTGATTATTCTTTGCTTGCAATGACTAGTATAAAGAGAGCAAATATGATCAGATTCATTGATCCTGCATGGATTCTAACTCTTAATAAGAATGATAAGAGATTACGTTTGACTTTACAAACTATATTTAAATGTTGGTTTATCATATAAGAGACAAAATTCAGTGTTTTTCAAGAGAATTGACCTCAGCTGTGGTTTTATACATTTTAAAACACATTGAGCATCTGAATCACGTTAGAGACACAGGCATCAATAATCAGCAATTCTATCTCAACAGTGGTTAGACATTTTTTTTGGCTGCAGTGTATGCAAATAGAATCATACAACATCCATCTGATTCGTTATCTCTGTGTTTTTTAAGTGTTTCAGATGTTCAATGTGTTTTGCAATATGATAACAGTATTACTGAGTTTCATTTTATTGATACAGTGCTACTTTTGGGGTTAAACATTATTTAAACTTAATAGGTCAAAATCAATTTTACTCATTTGACCTGAATCAAATATCCAGATCACAATTGGTCTCTTTACACAACATTTGCCCTAATACACTATTTGGCAAACCAAGAGAAAGAAACATTAGAAATCGAGTCAGAGCCCAAGGAAAGCAACTACTGTTCTCCTCAGGGGTGACAGCTTAAAACCCAAAAAGTGGTGTTTTTTATTGTTGTTGTAAAAAATTACTTAGTTAATTCTTAATAACATCACTATATGGAATTTTGTAGAGTGTGGCAGAAGTAAGGCCAAACAGGTTGTAAATAAGTAAAGCTGTTGTTTGTGGAGTTGCTTCATGATCCTCTGCTGAGATTTTGAGAAATTTGATGTGTTTTATTTCAGTTTATTTCATTTACGGCTGTGACTGAAGTCAGCTGTAATTTTCAGTTTCTCTTCTCTGTTTCTGTTTATTAACAGCAGGTGTTCATCATCAGTGCTCAATCAACACTTATTTAACCCCCTCATTGTCTCATTTACTTTAACTCTGCTGCTGAGTACATTTTACTCAATTTAGAGAGAAACCAAATATTTTTTGAACTGAGTAAATTTTACTCTGAGGATTTTGCTGTGTAATGTATGTGTGTGAATGAGTGTGTATGGATCTTTTCAGTGATGGGTTGCAGCGGGAAGGACATCCACAGCGTAAAACATATGCTGGATATATAGTTATATAATTTGCAATTCATTCCGCTGTGGCAACATTAATAAAGGGACTAAGCCAAAAAGAAAATGAATAAATGAAAATATTAGGTACTGTTATTATGGCAAAGATAAAAGGGGGACCCCTCGAAAATTAGATGGTTCATCTCAAGGGGCTATGCCATTCAATAAATTCAATTCAATAAAAGAAATCAGTTATTAGAGATGAGTTATTAAAACTATTATGTTTAGAAATGTGTTGAAAAAAAATCTACTCTCTGTTTAATAGAAATTGGAGAAAAATTATTAGGGGGGCTAATACTTCTGACTTCAAATGTATATATATTCATCCTTACTTATCAGTTTAATCGTTTTTACAAATTTAAGTGGATTGAACATAAAACAATTAAGTTGTCCCCCCTAAAAAGCCAATAGCTTCAGGTTCTTCAAAATGTCTTTTGTGTTAAACAGATGAAAGAAACAAGTTTGAAACAAGTAAAGTTTGAGTAAATGATGAAAGAATGTTCAGCTTTGGATGTCAAACATTTTTTAATTCTACACTACAGGTAGCATCCCTGCTTTGTGAAGCAAGCTCTGGTGAAGAAGCGATGCTGTTCTTCTACAATTTGCTGATAATGGGACGACGGGTGTGAGTGTGGTTGTGGCTGCAACCCTAGAACCTCGATCCTCACCAACATGGTTTGCAGCGAACAGAATTCTGGCACATCAGTGCCCAAAAAGGAAACACAGACCCGCAAGAAGCGGAAATCTCGTCCGCAAGGTTTGCCTTCTCCTGCCCTCTGCTGCGCATGTGGACTCTGCATCATGTTGGCAGGCATCAACATCACCTTAGTTGGCGCCTTCGCATTCAGTACGCTCGTGCCCTCCAGCAATCCTCCAATCATCATTGGACCGATTCTCCTACTGGTGGCGTTCTCCTTCTTCGGGGCGTGTTGCATCTGCAGTCGACTGCCTCCACCTCAGAGTTCTCGCCGGTCTAAAGGAGGTGGCGGTTTGGGTTTTATGGGTCGAGGTGGAGGGGGGTTGGGTGGAGGGGCAGCGTTTGAGATTGAGACCAGCGAGCACACGATGCAGGACACCACAGCCGTGCAGCTCAGCCCCACTAACTCTCCCTGCTCCTCCCATGCCTCAAGTCCCGAAAGAGAGGCTCCTGCCACCGCCGCAAATGCTACTGTTCCTGCCCCTGACTACGGCCCTCCACGAACCTGCAAACTCTTCACTATGGAGGCCAACGGACCAAACTCGGCAGCCTTTTCTGCTTCAACAGGGGGTGGAGGGGCGGTCCGGCTCACTTTGCCCTCAGACTGCGCTGCCACTTAAGTGTGCCGGTTTAGGTCGCTCTCTGGAGAAGGGCTGGTATTATGTTATGTAAATAGTTCTCTCAAGGAAAGACAAGCACTTTGTCTGAAGAATTCATTTGATTGCCACAGCTGGCTTGTGCCACGAGATGTAATAACAATTGAAATGCTCGCATAAATTCAATGGGTTGCTTTTCGGAGACCCATGTGTTCCTGATAGAAATGACAGTGGTATGCGAGAAGCATATGAAGAGCTTTTTGCGTTCTCTGTATCCAAAGAGAGAGAGCCTTGAAAGGTGAATCACTGAGGCGTGCTTCACATATTCATACTGTGCCACTGTTACTCAGAGCATTCACAGTTACTGCGCTCAAAAGAGACAAAATCAGCTGTTGTGTAAAGATGGCTTTGGAGACGAGCCTAAGAAACAGAATGGAGATAGACACTGTGTGTTGTCATATGCTAGTGTATGGATGAAAAAAATAAGAATCAAAATAGAGATGTTGTATTTTTTCTCTTAAATATTTTCTCTTCATCATTTTAAATTAATTCAAGAGCGAATGGTTCTTTTTTGATCACTCTCCGTGGCTGAACGCTTTGAATATTGTCAATACTGGATTTATAAATAATCCGTGACACTGTGCAAGATCTCTGCTGTTTTTTTTTAATGCAGCAGTATAGTTTGCATTAAAATCGGACTGAAATGCAAGTTCAAAAAGGGCAGAAAGAAAACTACATTCTAGGTGTGATTCGCCTGACATTGTGTGGCGAATATTTGGCATCGTTGAGCTGAATTTGTACTGTTGTTGCAATTTGTTTGATGTTAAGATTTTTGACTTGAAATAATGAACCAACAGCCCATTTTTCTGTAATATAGCCACAAGCCATTAGTCTTTATTTTATAATGTGGTTTATACTTTATGCCAAGTAAAACAATATTTCTTTCTTGTAGATTGCCAAAGGCTGTTATGCCCTCCCTCTTCTGTTGTCTTCGGTTGTCAGTACTTGTCCTACGTCAACAGCACAGTAACATTCAACTATACTACCTACATCTGCTCACAGTGTTCCCTCTCAAATCTCTTTTTTTCCCTCCTATCTTACTGTCCCTGTGCCCCCTGGTTTTCCTTTGCTCTTTGAAAGCAAGAGCCAGCACTGTTCTCAAACATGCCCTCTATCGCTGACCCGCCATGATAGTTCAAGCTGAACAGCGAAACAATTTCCCTCATGTTGATTTTAGCGGAGAGGTCAGCTGAAAGCAGTTTCGGGGGCTGTACAAGCTTAAAAAGAAAAGGACATTATCTCTGTATACATTTTAAAAAGTAAAAATGCTCTATTAACATTTGACGGTTTTAGATTTTCCCTTTGGTATTATATATTCAACAATTCTAAGCAAAGGAAAGGGCTGATTTTTACTGACAATTTTCTGTAAAGTGCCAATGCATCTGATAATATGTACTTTTATCTGTGTAATATAGTGTGGCACATTTATCATAAGTCAAGTGGGTTAAGGTTAGGCATAGGCCGGTATATGATTCTCATGGTATGATAACCTTGGCCAAACAATATCACAATTTCATGGTATTGTGATTACTGCTATAAAATATCACCTTTTTAAATGTCTTAGTAAAAAAACTTAACACATTTTCGCCCCTTTATAATAAAATACACATTTATTTTATTTTGAGAAACATTTAAAAAAATTTAAAACAGTAAACATGTCAGGCTATATAATTTAAACGAATCATTAGCTGTGTTTCCATCCACCTATTTTTATTCGCATTTTGGATATGCACATAAAAGGCCAAACGCCAAGATGCGCATAAGTTTTGAAAATGCATAAAAAATGTATGCGCATAACTGAGTAGGACACATTTTTTTATCCGAGAAGAAAAAATGTGCATATACTACAATAGAAACACTTTTATCGAATGAATTGCCGTCATGTGATTTTGTGATGATAAAAATGCATGTGAATGGATAAACCAGCAGGCTGAGCACACTGTAAATTGTCTGAAAAGTGGTTTTGGTCATTCTAAAATGCCGTAACCATTTCAGTATTAGTTTTATTATATAAGTAATTACCTCAAGAACTGTCAAGAGCATCTGTGCTCCGCGTCTCAGGCCTTCAAACACCACCACACATTTATTGTGTCATGGCATTTGTCATTTACTAAATGAAGAAAAGATTGACACAGCTTCTCCTACTGCAGCAAATTCCATTTTTACTGATGATATTTGGTGCCAGTTAATTAGGAAGAGACGATTTTTTTCTCTTTAACTTGTTAGATGGAAACGCTGCTTTTGGCGCACATGTTTTATGCAATAATCCAGTTTTGTTCATAAATTTAATTTACATTTCTGGACGGAAACATAGCTACTGACTTCTGATGTATTTGGTTTTAAAACACAGATTTCTTTACATTTTAAAATGACATCTTTGGATATCTTTTGAAACTGTATAACAGAATTTTTTTTTCAAACCTTGACTCTTTTGAAACTGCTATATACCTTGAAAACGGTTATTGTCCCATGCCTAGTTAAGGTTGGGAAGCGCAACATAAACTGCATGCTAACAAACAATAAACTGTTGCCACGGGCGGAAAGTAAAATCCTTAAAATTTAAAATGTTTATTTTGCTAGCGCATATTGTTATTCTTTAAGTTAAAAATTAATCTGTGCGTTAATCTGTCCATTAGAATTTATTTTGTTGTTTTGTTTTCAGTCTTAACCACACCCCTCTAAACCAATTTTCCTACAGACCATTGAAAGGAATGTAAACAAAAACTACAGTCCTAACATATTTCCTATTTTACATTTTTAATTTCTATAGCTTCCAAGAATCCCAAAAGATCCACATGATAATTTAATGATAAATAATGTTATGACAGCTGTTTTAATGTTGAGTTATGATTGAATTGCCTCTTGTTACAGTTATAAAATAGTTTGACCACAGGCAGGAAATGTTCATGGGCCCATGACATCAACACATTGAAATGGTCAATAAAGAAATGATGTGCGCAAATAAAGCCCCACCCCCTACTCAATTTCCGCTTGTTAAGTGTGACGTCACATGAAGTGGCTTCCGAGTCCAAGCGCTATATCAAACTGAAAGGGGAGACTCCACAAATGATAATAATATACTTGTAAACAAATAAAAATAATGGCAACAATAACGTTTACAAAGTGATATATATATATTTATTTATTTATTTATTTTATTTATTTATTCATATATATATACCCTAGATATATTCTAGTCTAATATTCGATGGCCAGAAAGTGAAAAATATTTTTTTTAAATTGTTAAAATATTGGTGTTTGTGATGCAGCAAGTCCAGAGACTGTTGTGTGCACCATGATTTTGTATAAAATTCAATTTAATGTGTGATATGACTAAAAAGCGGTCATAAATAAATACTTTCTTAATTCAAATGAGTAGCGGCTTGAACCCAGAAGCAGTATCCCATACGTCATCACTTAAGCAGATTCCCTTTCAGTTGGAAATACATCAACATACTGTAAAAAACTTAGCAACTTCCGCTTAACAAAGACTTTAATGAATTTAAGAATAAATTTTAAGTATAGTGCTCCAGTTGTTTGTAATCAGATATTGAGCTTTCCATTTGGGATGTTTCAGGAGAAGACATTAGTACCTTTTCATAATGTTAGTGTATATGAACTGTGTCCACCTTTGTTTGTTAGCTGCTGTTAGCCATGTACACATCTGCTGTCGTCTAAATGAATTGAATGCTGCCTTAATGACAGTGATCTCAGGATCAAACCAGTGAGGGCTACTCAATTGTCAAATGAGAACATTTGCTCATGTGGTATTTACAGTACAGTACAGTACTTTTAGAGATGTTATGCTGTTCAATACTTTCTGTCACACGTTTTAAAAAAATATATATATTTATATGGAGGTAAGTGCAATGCGATGTTGGTTGAAAAGGTTTGATAATGTTGATCTGCATTATTGTTATACTTTTGGCAGAAGGCCATGTTGAGTAAAATGGTGTTTGAATGATGAATGATGGTGATTGTTTTAAGTATTGCTGGCACTGAATTGTCTTTTGTAAGTTGTACTCATCATAATTATACACTGTTTAACTCCCACATGCATAATTCAATTAGAATTGTGTCCACACCTGTTTTCACTCTAGTCTTTACATTTTCTGAACCCTTCACTTTGTTCCTTTGTGAAAAATATGACATTATTATGAAAAAAAAAAATCTCTTGGCATGTCAGAATAAACTTAAGCAACATTCTTAAGAGCGGTGTGACTTTTTTTTCTAATAATAAAATGTTAGGATTTCTGTGCAATGTTGGGTTCCACATAATTCCTTCATGTTGTCCTAACACAAATCGATTAAGTTAACTTACTCCTTTTTACAAATTTCAGTGGATTGAACATAAAACAATGAAGTTATCCCCTAAAAACATAGGAATTGTGTTGGTTCAGCTCATTTTAAATAGGTAGTTGTTTAGCACATGACTGATGTGATATTTAATGAAATACTGATTTACAATGCAGGAACAAAACATTTTTCATGAGCTGGTAAATATCACAAAAACAAAATCAGCCTCTCAATCTACAACACTGTAAAAAATGCTGGGTTCAAATTGAATGGAATCGATTTGTGTTGGGACAACATAAAGGAATTAAGTTAGCTTATTTATTCATTCATTCATTCATTTTCCTTCAGCTTAGTCCCTTATTTATCAGGGGTCACCACAGTGGAATCAACCGCCAACTATTCGGGCATATGTTTTCCGCAGTGGATGCCCTTCAAGCCACAACCCAGTACTGGAAAGAAAATAGCTAATTCGTTTTTACAAATTTAAGTGGATTGAACATAAAATAATTAAGTTGTCTCCCAAAAAAAATAAGAATTGAGATGTTTCAGCTCATTGTAAATAAGTACACACATCTAACATTATTTTGAGGGAACATCTTGAGCATAATGAGGATTTTGCAAGTTGGTGATTTCATTTGAATTAGTTTGATGCAAGTTTGTTGGATTTGTTTCATACTAAACTTAAACATGATTCCTGAAAAAGCATGAATGTCCACTTCAATTCCATCTGTCAGTGAAAAGCATTGTATATTTCTATAAAATAAAGTATTATTTCTTTTAGTTTGTCTGGAATTTTCATTTGGCAACAGAACAAACCATCGATATCCAGTGACTTTCCTAAATCTAATGACATTAAGGGTCCTATTGTGCAATGAGGCGCAAGACGTGTTTGGCACAATTTGTTGCTATTTTCAGACCAACGCAACCCTAATTTTGCTGTTTTGCGCCACATTAATAATAGCATTATACAAATGCAAATTGTCATTAATAAACTGAAAAAGCTCACCGAGATGATGAACCCATGGAGGCAGTGTTTTTTATATTAATGTATAAAATAATATATATTTTTTGTAATATTTTATTCCTTAAATTCTATTTCAGTTGTAAAGATGTTTGTATATTGCTGTACATCCTGTGTGTAAGCAATGTGTAAGCGAGGCTTTCAGCTGGGAAGCGTGTCCGAAAACCATCGTTAGCCAGCTAGAGTCGCAAGTTGTGTCGTTACCAACATAGTTTGTTGATTTGGTGTTTCCCAAATCCATCGTTGCAATGAACATTCGCTAACTGCGTCGTAAACTTCTGTGCTTGCAACTACCCCTCTGGAGCAGTAGTTAGAAACATAGTTCCTGGCTGTGTTCTGTTCCCACTTATACCCATCATGCCCTATGTGTTTAGAACAGTCTAACATTTAAACCTGGAATGATTTTTTAAAGCATCAAGGTCATCTCTCTTAGGTGTAATTTGCTTTAAAGAATTTTTAAAGTTCAGTTTTAGCGATCTTCATGCTTACAGTTGTGCTCCCTTCCGAGTGTACTTTAAAAACATAGATGCCATTTGGAATACAGTCGTGGCTCTAGGCAAAAGCTATAGGTTACCTATTATTTAAAAGCAGAATTATTTAAAAGCAGAATAAAAGCTTGTGAAAACAAAAAAACAGCATACGTTAATGCTTTTCATTTTTAGTAGCTTAATGTTTTACCATTTGTAGCCTACTGTTATGACATGGGCCTGTTGGTTAGCACATTTCTGCATTGGTTTACATGTATCAAATAGTAAAAGTTGACTTAAAAAAAAAATTTGAAAAAGATATTGAAAAAAATATATTCTACTTTAATACTACTACTACTACTACTACTACTAATAATAATAATAATAATAATAATCGTCATCATCATTATCATTATTATTAATATTATTATTAAAGTAGGATTTTTTTCATTTCCTAATAAATATTACATTTTATTTCTTAATAAATAGCCTCATTATTTATTTATTTATTTATATGATTTATATATATGATTAGAATACGTGTTAGCTTTTTTAAGTGATTTTGTGTTTTAGAATAGAATTCATAAAATTCTTAATAATATTTGTAAAAGAAACATAGGTCCAAATGTGCCATTTCCATATAGTTCAGTTAATATGGAAAATGAGTGCGTGTTTTACCAAAACTAATATTGAATTTTTTTAATGTGCGTGTAAAACAATATCATTTGCACAAATAAATTATGGTGTTCTTCTCTTAAGAAAGCTGTTACTCCACCCCGTTTAGAACAGCATTAAGGGCCTTTTATGTTATAACTAACGTGGTTCAATGATGGATCTGCGACAGAGAAAGTATGGGTTTTGGCAAACACTTGT